ACTCGTATTTGAGTTTTATTTTCCCTCTGAAAGTTCTCCACTGCCTTAACCGAGTACTGAACTCACACTCTTTGGGTCCTGTCACTGGATCTAACTAACGCTTTTGTCCACTGTGCCAGAAAAAAAATTAACAGGAGATAACTGATAACTGACATCCATTAGAAATGGCACGTGGAACTAGAACAGTCTACACCAGTGAGCGAAATAAAGGGTTCAGTTCGACATTCCAACCACCTGAAGAAGGCTGAAGCGTACAGCGGCCGAAACGCTGTAATAAATATGGCAACAAAGATGAGGACAATAGGCCGAATAATGTAAATAGTGTACATAATATCTCATCTAGGAAATATAGACAGATACTGAAAGGCCGAAACGTTATAATAAATATAGCAACAAAGATGAGGACAATAGTCCAAATAATGTAAATAGTGTACATAATACCTCATCTCAGAAATATAGACAGATACTGAAAGGCCGAAACGTTTTAATAAATATGGCGACAAAAATGAGGACAATAGTCCAAATAATGTAAATAGTGTACATAATACCTCATCTCAGCAATATAGACAAATACTGAAAGGCCGAAACGTTTTAATAAATATGGCGACAAAGATGAGGACAATAGTCCAAATAATGTAAATAGTGTACATAATACCTCATCTCAGAAATATAGACAAATACTGATGATCGCAGTACTCCATTTTTGATCTGATCTGGATATTGTAAATATAGGACATGGCAGATGGAGTCAGGTACCTACTTGAGCGGTAGCAGCAATCAATATTTTACCAGCATCTTTAGCGATGATCAGAGAAAACTCTTGTGTATCGCTGAAAGCCGAGACATAATGGAGTACATAATTTAGATGAATGGCAGTATGACGTCATGTAAACTAAATAAAAGTTTTTGATGTTTGATAATATGAATTTATATGGAGAAAATTATTTCTTACGATGTACTACAATCTGTTTTCTTTTCTTATTTTATTAATTTAATAGTTTTTACTGAAACACAGACTCGTATTTCTTATCATGAGAGATTTTCTTTTTTTTAGATCGAACATAAAAACTTTTTTAAAAGAAAAGCCGACAACAGTCAGAGAAAGACATTCTCTCTTAACCCGATTCGTGTAAAGAGTCAAAGGCTTTGGTTTAAAAATAACAGAATATGGAATTACTAGTAAAAAGATTCATGAAATCATGAAAATAATCCATCGTATGCGGATAGTATTCTTTTTTCATTTTTTTTTTTTTTTTTTTCGTTTTCATATTGTGATTATTGCCTGCTTGAATTTAGTAAAAAAAAAAAGGTCATATGACTGGGGAGTTAGAGGGTGTTTTTTTTTTTTGTTTTATAAGTTACAGTTTTCACATATGGTTGTCAGAAAATGAAATATATAAATTCAAACTAGCAGGCGAAGCAAAATAAAATGAAATTTAAGAAGAGAAATCCCAGTGGCGAGGACAGGGAAAATAAGAAAATGAAAAGATAAGGTTACGAGAAACCAACAGAAAAATCTTGTATATATATATATATATATATATATATATATATATATATATATATATATATATATATATATATGTGTATGTGTGTGTGTGTGTGTGTGTGTGTGCGTGTGTGTGTTTGTATTTATATATAGAGGAAAAGAGTAAGAGAGAAGGAGAAATCTTAACGTTCTTTTAAATGATTATAAGCCTCTCTAACTGCCTATCATTTAGATGTATATTTAGGTTATAACCTCCGAGGCAAACATTGGGCTATATATTTCATATTAAGTCGACCTATCTTTTAACCTATGACTCTGGGCTTAACAATAAGTAAATCTACTCAATGAAAAAGAAAGAGGAAAAATAAAAGAGAAAATTACTTATTTTCCTCCTTTAAGAGTAAGACAAGTCTAGTTGTAAATATCATCAATAAAAAACGAAATTTGCAAACAATATGTGCTGAGGTTATGTGCGCATTAACAGCGACAGTCTGCGCATGTGCCGAATGAAAACAGTCGTACATATGCTAACGGGAAAAAGACGACTGAGTTCTCTTTTAAAAGGCGCAAAAAAGTTGCAGAAACTAATTTATTGCAGGTTTGATTTAATTGTACGCAAACTTCTGTATTCACTAAGTAAATGTATTTTAATGGTGATATTTATTCGGCTACACCAATTATCGCACAGGAAAAGCCGGTAAACATTATAAATATATGAGATTAACAATTTAAAACAAAGAAGTAAAAATATCTAACTTCATTGCTTACAACGTCATCACTCAAAAACAGCTAGTATTGTAGGAATATTATTATTATTATTAGTAGTATTATTATAAATAAACGGAAATTGAGTGTATAATAATAATAATAATAATAATAATAATAATAATGAAAATTATATATAAAATAAAATGAAACAATAACATAAAAACGTTGTATAAAATACATTAAATAAAAAAATAAAAAATTACTCTCAGCATGCAACAAAAACTGTTCATACCGGATATACTGACATCGCACCAAAAAACGTTAGATTCATTCTCTTCGCCACGAACCTGTGTACTGACAACACGTGTCCAAATTCTCTCAGTGATATGACTTGTAATAGTATGGAGTATATTGCTCCCTTTTATAACATGTAACATAAAACAATTGTAACTTAAAAATACACCCACAAAGTCATAAATAAAATTGTATGAAATTACCATCCAATTTATCATGCCTTCTCTGTACTACATAGCTCTTCACCACGAACCCTGGTTCGGGCAACACTTGTCCAGCTTCTCTCAGTGATACGGCTTATAATACTGCAGTGTTAATTGCTCCATTCTCTAACATGTACCATAAAACAATTGTTACGTAAAATACACAAGCAAATACATTAATAAAATTGTATGAAATTACCATACAATTTACGATGCCTTTTCTGTATTGTGTACGTTTGTTTTGCTGTTTGTATCTTCGTGAAAACAAGCCTAAAATTCCTTCCACAATGCTGTGAGTAAAACCCTACATCTCAGATATGGCAGCAATAATCCATTCTTGGTTTGATCTGACTCTTTTTGAACACTATTATCGATTCCTCATCTTACACTCTCGCAACACCATGGCTGTGTTGCGGGTTAATTCAAAGTCTACCTAGAAGCAGTTATATATGTAGCCTTGTATCACCCGTAGAACCAGTTTTTGTTTTGATTTTGTTCTACACCGTATGACCTGCGATTGCTGACCTCAAAATGCCTCGAACTTGGCTAATGTCTGACCATTCAGAACCAGATCTACAGTTCAGGAATTTTACTTGATTTATGTTGAAATAATCAGTAATTCTTCTAACGCTCATCGGACTTCTCGAACGCATGTAATTCGGACAGTACATCATTGTTTCTTTGATAAGAAAACTGCTAGCACTAGATTTTAAAACCAGAACGAAATTTATCAATGCTAGATACATAGCTTAAAGCTACCAGTTCACTGTCTATGATATTGTGACAAAAAGGCGCATACTCTCGTTAAATCAAAAGTCACATTATCCTTCAGGATGGTGCAATTTTATTTTCAGTGTAATTAATATGATGCTCTGAAAATGTCTCTGTGCTGTGTTTCGTGTCGTCTCCGGCTTTAATTCTTCATACATCCAAGCTACATCATCGATAATTATATTTTTTTATCTCACTTTTACGAGGAACCGTCGAGGCAGCAATGTTTCACGGAGGAAGCGGGAGGGAAAGGAGGATAACCGAGATGATGCGTGTCAACCCTCCCTCTCTCTTTCTCATCCTCTGGCTCGCTCTCCCACTCCCTCTTTCTTCCTCACCCTCTCTCTCTCCCTTTCCCCCTCTCTCTCCCTTTCCCCCTCTCTCTCCCTTTCTCCCTCTCTCTCTCTTTCTCTCTCTCGCTCTCCCACTCCCTCTCTCTTCCTCACCCTCTCGCTCTCTCTCTTTCCCTCCCACTCACTTTCTCTCTCTCACTCTCACTCACTTTCCTACTCCTTCTCTCTTTCTCACCCTCTCGCTCTCCCTTTCCCTCCTCTCTCTTCCTCACCCTTCTTCTCTCCCTTTCCCTCCCCTCTCTTTCTCTCTCGCTCACTCTCCCATTCCCTCTCTCTTTCTCACTCTCACGTTCTCTCTTTCCCTCTCTTTCTCTCTCTCGCTGGCTCTCCCACTCTCTTCCTCACCCTCTTCCTGCCTCTCTCTCTCTTTATCTCCCTCTCTCTCTCTCTCTCTCACACACACACACACACACACACACACACACACATATATATTTATTTAGAGGAATACTTAGCCGACACGATTCTTGCTCTGAGAGACTTTAGGAAGACCAATGTCAGCATTTTATTTTGTGACAAGTATTTATATAAAAGCGTAAAAATTGTGAAAAATTAAAATCATCACATTTGCCGTGATAAAGTCCCTTACAGGAAGAAACACGTCAGCTAAGATAAGTTTGGATTTTATCTTTATCGATATTGTCTTTTTACAGAGAAATTTTTACACCACATACTGAATTAATAGTCCGATTATATATATATATATATATATATATATATATATATATATATATATATATATATATATATATATATATGTATGTATGTTGTATGTATGTAGTTGCACTGTCTGTGAAGGGTAGTGGGATGCTGATTGCAAGTTGAAATCAACGGAGCATGATTTCTTTTATTGGAATAAAAAATAAGATTTCGAAATCTGTGATAATGCCAGAATAATGCGGTCAGTGCTTTCCTTATTCTGGAACCGGATTCAATTATGCCGTCTGCGTGTCCCATTCTTAGGGAGATTCTCATTATGAGTTCGATTAAGGTTTAATCAGCATCGAAAGAAAGAAGACGTACACGGAGAGGTGAAGTTCATCATGAAGGAAGGCATCGATATTGAGAAAGCAAAGTGAAAGATATTGAGCGAAAAAATGCCAGGAAAAAAAAAAAGAAGAAGAAGAAGAAGAAGAAGAAGAAGAAGAAGAAAAGATACTAAAGAATTAAAAGATGAAAGAATTAACAACAGAAAGAAAAAAGAAAGAAAGAAAGAAAGAAAGAAAGAAAGAAAGAAAGAAAATCAAACGGACTGAGAAAAATAAAACAAAAAGAAAGAAAGAAAGAAAGAAAGAAAGAAAGAAAGAAAGAAAGAAAATCAAACGGACTGAGAAAAATAAAACAAAAAAGAAAGAAAGAAAGAAAGAAAGAAAGAAAGAAAGAAAGAAAGAAAAAAGAAAGAAAGAAAGAAAGAAAGAAAATCAAACGGACTGAGAAAAATAAAACAAAAAGAAAGAAAGAAAGAAAGAAAGACAAAAGAAAGAAAGAAAGAAAGAAAATCAAACGGACTGAGAAAAAAAAACAAAAAGAAAGAAAGAAAGAAAGAATTTTATAACCTGCTGAAAGAAAAAGACAAGCAAAGTGAGAGAAATTGGTAACCTGGACCAAAAATAAAGTAGAAAATGGAAAGAGGAAAGAAAGAATTGATTATTAAACCAACGGGAAGCGATCTCATGAAGAAAAAGAATATAATAATAGAAAAGAAGTAAGGAAAATAGAAAGAAAAAAGGAATGAGAAAAAGAAGAAAAGAAGGAAGGAAAAAAAGAAGAAAAGAAGGAAGGAAAAAAGAAAGAAAACAGGAAGGAGAAAATGAAAAAAAGAAGAAACGAAAAAGGTAAAAAAGAATGAAGGAAGAAAAAAGAAGAGAAGGAAGGAAAAAAAGGAAGAAAAGAAGGAAATTAAAAGAAAGAAAAATGCAAAGAAAAATAATCTAAAGATAGTAACATGAAGGAAATTAGATCTCTCTTGTCAAGGCGACCATCTCATAATAATTTTCAGCACCCCCTCGGATATCTGTAAAAGTAGATTCATTCTATTGATTCTTCAGCTCGTTTAGCAGATCATTAGGACGGAGTAGTGAGTTCGATACTTACCGTGTGTCTCGCGCTTATAGTCTTTGGCTAAAATTAAACTAACGCTGTATTTACTTGATCAACCAACCTTGTGTCACAACTTGACTCAGTGAGGGCCCCCCACCCCCACTGAGTCAAGTTGTGACACAAGGTTGGTTTTTAACGTGGGGACCCATGTGTCTTCACTCGGGCCGCTGGTCTAAGCTGGTCAGAGCCGATCCAAGCAAGACATAGCGACGACACTACCAGCGAAGGGACGGATGCCTACGCCCGGCAAGTATCAGAATGTGTATATCACTTATGAGAAAGGTTTACACACTCCCAAAATTCAACTAACTAATCCATTAAATCACACAGACCAAGTTAGGAAATGTAGCGAATTTGGCAACCATCGATGATCAGCTGATCACTAAGAAATTTATGCAAGAAAACAAGATAAGTGTAGGTAATGGTTAACGAGCAGAACGCTATGATTAAGTGTTCTAGACTTCTAGCATTGTGTAAGACTAATTTTAAGTTTCCTTCTTCATTCAATGACCGAGCAGCCAATGTTAATCCAGTGACGCTTTTCTGAGCTTCCATCAACAGTGATCAAAGTGTAGTATCTGTTCCTCTCATCTCTAATGATAAGGGTAATGTAAGTGTTTCCTTACAAGGAAATACTCGGCATTCTTTGACCGAGAAGCCAATGTTAATATCAGCCATAAAACCTTTAATTGAAAACAAATCTTCAAGAAACTGCGTTTCTTGTGTACATTATCGACGTGAGCTTCCTTCTTAAACGTTTGTTTAATGTAGCTTAGAACGTCCAAATCTTTATTAAGTCATCATTTTCTCTTAGACTTACACGTATCGCTTCCTGGGCAAGACGATTAACTACATCTAACAGCAACACCTCTGAGGTTTGAGGAACGTTAAACCACCTCTTAATTTCTCGTGTTCCGAGGTCCAACTTGACCCGGGGTGGTAGCACCTTTTAGGGTCCCAGCTATGGGCAAATACTTAATCTCTAAACTGGGATGAAAACACTATGAAATTTTAAAAATAGATTTTAATACCAGCAATATATTTTTGTACAAAATTATTACCAGCAATTTATTTTTGAAGAAAGAAATTATTACCAGCAATACATTTTTAAAAAAAATATTACCAGCAATATATATTTTTTAATAACTATATTACCAGAAATACATTTTTGAAAAAAATATTACCAGCAATAAAAATCTTGTTGGCATTAAATAACCCATTAAGGTGTTGATATGCCGTAAAACAAAATAAACTTACACGTGCTTTTCACTTTAGTTCTTTTCGAGTGATCTGGTTTCTATTATTTGGTAAAGTTCTTTGTTTGTGATTCTGTAGCGCCAGTTCATAAAGTCAAAAGAAGAATGATTTCCGCTACAGACTTCATTTGCCCGAAGTTATTTTTTATTCAGTAAACCGCGAACGCGATTGTATACAGATGACAGTTTAGATGTTCCTGAATGAGTTCAGAGCCATGAAGGAAAGTCTCCAAAATGGCTATTTAAGAAAAATATAAATTCTAGCTGAGTAAAATCTATTTAAGAAAAAGAAATTTGTTATGTGTGACACGATAGAAAGAAAAGATAAAGATTATGAAGATTATCTGAACGACAAAAGAATAGGAAATTAAAAGAAAGAGAAAAAGTAGTGACGAAATGGAGAGTGAGAAAGAAAGAATAAAGAAAACAAAAGAAAGATGAAAGGATTAAAATGAAGGAAAACCGAACATTGGCAAAAAGAAAAAAAATAGGGATGATTGAATTTATAAGGGAAAATCTTTCGAAACAAAAACACAGAGAAACAATTCCAGACGAAAGAAAGAAACAAAGAAAAATCAAGAGAAAAAATCGAATAAATGAAAAGATTAACTGTGAAATTGAAAAAAGAAATATATATATATATATATATATATATATATATATATATATATATGATAAAAAACTTACGGTGCAAAATTGAAGGAAAAAAAAATTAGAAAGACAAGGAAAAAGAAAAGGGAAAATTAGAATAAAAACATAAAATAAAGGAGAAAAGTATAGATGGTGAATAAAATTCGAGAAAAGAAGGAAAAAAGAAAGAAAAAATATCAGAAATATAAGGAGGAAAGGGGGGAAAATAAAAGTGAAGAGAAAGTAGAAAGAAAGAAGAGAAAAGGACAGAAGAGGATGAATAAAATTCGAGAAAGAAATAAAGAAAAAAATAGAAATGAAAGGAATAAAAAAAGAGAAAAATGAAAAAAAAAAAACTAAGAAAGAAAAGTGAAGAAAAACACGTAGAAATGAATGAGGAAGAAAGAAAGAAAGAAGAAACATGAAGGAAAAAGGAAGGAAGAATCAGCGTTGAGGAGAGAAAACTGGAAGCAAAAAGAAAAAATATGAAATCGATTTCTTTCTAATAGTGTAAAGACTTCAAAGTATGGCGGTAATTGTATCGTGATGAGAGAGACTCTTAACTTACGGCCATGTTTGATTTTGATGATGCGAAGATTGCGAAAGGGTCGGTTAGATTAAGGTTGAAGCAGCAGATCAAGCGGGATTAAGGAAATCATCATTGATGGGATTAGGAGTGGAAAGATCACGGGATCAATAGATTTGAGATGGGGCTACGGAAACATGGTTATGTTGGATCATCGCTGATTTCGCTTAAATAGCAGAGATCAGAAAGAATACAATGAAACGAGAAGAAACGGAAAGAAAAGATGGGAGATGAAAAAAAAAATGGAAAGTGGTGGTGAGGAAGAAAGTAAATTTAAAGGCGGTAGCATAGGACAAACGGATAAAACAATTGAGGGAATGAAGAATATTGGAGGATAATTAAAGAGAAAGGAATCAGAAAATAGTCATTAACCATCTTGGAATATATCTGGGTTTTAACTCTAAGCTACGGCTGCAGATAAGAATACACGATCATTATTCCACTGCTATATCTGGTCTCTTGCTCCGGACAGATTTATCAAGTTTCTCGAAAAAAATCAAAAAAGGACACAGGGCACAGAGGATAAAGGCGTTAGTTAGATCCAGTGACAGGACCCACATAGTTGTGAGTTCAATACCTGCTTAAGACAGTGGAGAAATTGGAGAGGGGAATTAACAGGAGATAACTGATAATTGACATCCATTAGACATGGCACGTGGAATTAGAACAGTCTACCCCAGCAAGCGAAATAAAGAATTCAGTTCGACATTCTAACCACCTGAAGAAGGCCGGAGCGTATATCGGACGAAACGTTGTGATAAATATGGCGACAAAGATGAGGACAATAGTCCGAATAATGTAAATAGTGTACATAATACCTCATCTCAGAAATATATACAGATACTGAACGGCCGAAACGTTCTAATAACTATGGCGACAAAGATGAGGACAATAGTCCAAATCATGGGAATAGTGTACATAATACCTCATCTCAGAAATATAGACAAATCTAAAAAGCCTCTGTAATTTTCTCGGTCCTAATATGGCATATCGACTTCAATCACTTTCCCGCTGACATGGCGCGAATTCACATCGTCTTTGAAAAAGATATTTCCCTGACAGTTGTTCTAACAAGCTCTCCTCCTTGGTACCTCGTTTGCACGAATTTACATGTACTACTAAACTGGCAATTAGGTCTCATCATTCTGCTGTCGAAATAACGAGATGGAATCGTAAGTTGTATTCTAATAGTTTCAATTACTTTTCAATATATCAACCAATACACGGACGAAACAATAATGAAAAGTAATTGTCATCTTTGATAATGGCTTATGTAAGCCGAAAGCTTAGATTGGATTTAAAGATGTATCAATATGCTGATTTCCTTTCGTCTTTCAATGATAATGTTAAGCTTATAAGACAATATGAAAGGAACTTACTTAAAATAGACAAAAGTTTTCTATATTATTTAATAAAACATGCATTAATATATAAATATATAAATACATATATATATATATATATATATATATATATTACAGATAGCATTTAATCAAAGTGAATTCTAATAATATAAAATATTAAAACTGATCCACAAATAGAGCGCAATGTTATTATAATAGAGCATATAAATTACATAATAGAGAAATCAAAAATTACATCATGACAATAGCTATTTCAACTAGTGTTAATACGCTAGTATATTTCAACTCAAATGGTGTGCAGATGGAATGTTAGAAACTTCAAATTTAATATTTAAAAAAAGAAAAGGAAGAAGATGCAACCGTTCACAATAAGATATTGAGTTAACCAAACAAAACCCGTATAGCGGTAAGCAGAGGCGGATATTGTCTGGATAAATTACAGAATTAACACACACTGGACCCAGATTTTAATTCCCCCACCCCAAGTTGGGCTCAATGTAAAAAACGAAGAGAAAAGTAGAGAAATCAAATATATATATATATATATATATATATAAATTTACAAAAGTACATACATGGATATGCATATATATATATATATATATATATATATATATATATATATATATATATATATATATATATATATATATATATATATATATATATATATATATATATATATATATATATATATATATATATATATATATATAAATATAGATAACTAGGTTTCTGCCTGAAAAAACCTCGAATTTTTGATTTGCTAATCAAATCAATCTCGAGGGAAAAAAGGTTTTAAAAAAGAAAGAGCTACAAAACATGAACTTTGTCGACAAAAATCGCACAGATTATATATATATATATACATGCATACATGTATATATATATATATATATATATATATATAGATAAGTTTATACATATACATTTATATACATGTATTTGTGTATATATATATATATATATATATATATATATATATATATATATATATATACTGTAAGGTCCAAAACTAAGGGACAAAATTTTAAAACCTAATATTCGTTAGAAATAACAACTGTGAAAAGCTGAAATTTTGACAACTGGTAGTCGTTATCATCCATAATAACATACTAAAATTTGAATCATTTGCAAAGGATAAAAGAATTATAACAATTATTTATTCATTTTCAAATTTGGAACGTCCAAAATAAGGGACAAAATTGAGAAAAACAATGTAAACGGCAAAAAACAATAAAATACATACAATCAATATTTAGTAAATGAGCCCTTTGCTCTCAATGACAGCTGCACATCTTCGACGACAAGAACAAATCAGTTCTTGACAATCCTCGATACTAATTTTAGACCATTCTTCTTGAAGCTTCACCCACAAATCCTCCGTGTTAGTGGGATTTCTTTCATAACTTTCACTCCTAAGGTCTTCCAAAGATTTTCTATTGATTTAAGTCAGGACTTTGCGGTGGCCAATCCATAATTTCCAAATCTTGCTCGCTAAGGTAACTCATTACCACCTTTGCCTTTGTGACATGGGGCATTATCTTCGCAAAAAGGTAGCTTTATCGAAACCTGAATTTGCATGATTGGCACAACATGATCTTGAACAATGTTTGTATAGATCTGCGCGTTTGCTAACGAGTTTGTAAACCGGACAAGAGGCGTTGTACCTTGGCTAGAAAACATTCCAAATACCATGACGCTTCGCCCCCAAACTTGACAGTTTTCTTAGTACACTTTGCACTTAATCTTTCACCAATACGTCTCTTTTACATTGTTTTTTCCATCATTTCCAAATAAATTAAACTTGCTTTCATCACTGAAAATACTTTTTGCCCAATTTTCATATGTCCAAATGACATACCTGTTTGCAAATCCTAATCTCTTCTTCTTATTCTTTGAAATAACAAGTGGTTTCTTCCCTGGGGTTCGATTAAATAGCCCTATTTCTTGCAGTCGTCTACAAACAGTCTTGTCTTGACACATTAACACATGAGGTACTATTCATAACCCTTTTAATTTTTGTGCAAGACTTAAAACGGTCCTTTAATGACATACACTGCATTATTCGATCTTCTCTTGCCGGTTTTAAAAGCACTAACTATTTTGTCAGTATCATTGTAGGATTTAACAACCCTGCCTACAACACTCTTGAACGTTTCACTTTCTCTGAAATCTCTAATGGTGTGCTTTTCCTTGTGTAGCTTCTCACAATAGCTTGTCTCACAGAGTAATCAAGTTTTGGCGTTTCGCCATGGTGCCGGCTGATGCAACGTTTACAAATGACTAAGTAAGACTTATTCTTTAGAGGAAATCAAAAAATTTGAATATAGCATACTGTTTACATTGTTTTCCTCAATTGTGTCCCTTTACTTTTGGACGATCCTATTTTGAAAATAAATAAATAATTGTTATAATTCTTTTCTATCCTTTGCAAATGATTCAAATTTTAGTATGTTATTATGGATGATAACGACTACCAGTTGTCAAAATTTAGCTTTTTCACAGTTGTTATTTCTAACAAATATTAGGTTTTAAAATTTTATCCCTTAGTTTTGGACGCTACTGTATATATATATATATACGCATACATACATACATATATATGTATAGCTATTTCAACTATTGTTAATATGCTAGTATTTTTCAGCTCAAATGGTGTGCAGATACAATGTTAGAAACTTATGTATGTATGTACATGTAAGTCTGTATGTGTGCTCGCGCAAATGTTTCCTGTATATATATATATATATATATATATGTATGTGTGTGTGTGTGTGTGTGTGTGTGTGTGTGTGTGTGTGTGTGTGTGTATCAGTGACACAAAATACATATGTGTACAGCCGCGTTTCTCAACGCATGCGCCCTTGCGCGTTAATGCGCCCTGAAAGGTAGCCAATTGCTCCCCAAATTAACAGAAGAGTAAATTATGAATTATTTTTATATTTAAAAAAACATCATTATTAAAAAAAAAACTAGAGACACCAAGCATTTTCATGTCTTTAAAAATAAATGCCTATTTCAGGAAACTTTTATTATTTTTCCTATTTTCAAATTTCAGGAAGTATTTTTCCTCATTAAAATTGAAAGTTCGCCCCAGAGTTTGAATTATTCAACAAGTGAACTCTGAAGGTTGAGAAACCTTGATGTAGACTCTGATTGATAGACAAATTATCTAACAAACAGACAAGGAAATAGATAATAGATACGAAACTACTCAGATAGATCTACAAATCTGAATGAATTTATCACGACTCTCGCAAAAGTTTGTCACCATTCAGATAGATAGATAGCAACAGACTAAGATAGATATGAATAGACTTAGATAGATAGATAGATAGATAGATAGATAGATAGATAGATAGATAGATAGATATGAACAGAGATAGATAGATAGATAGATAGATAGATAGATAGATAGATAGATAGATAGATAGATATGAACAGACTGAGATAGATAGATAGATAGATAGATATGAACAGACTGAGATAGATAGATAGATAGATAGATAGATAGATAGATAGATAGATAGATAGATAGATAGATAGATAGATATGAACAAACTGAGTGATATGACTAGACTTAGATATGAATAGACTTAGATAGATAGATAACAGATTGAGAGAGATAGATATAAATAGACTTAGATAGATATGAATAGACTTATATATATATATATATATATATATATATAGATAGATAGATAGATAGATAGATAGATAGATAACAGATTGAGAGAGATAGATATGAATAATCTTAGATATGAATAGACTTAGATAGATAGATAGATAGATAGATAGATAGATAGATAGATAGATAGATTGTGTATGTAGGCATCATATTTTCATTCAGACAGGATTGGTTATATAATTTAGACATATCATGTCGATTTGTTTTCACTGTTATCGTTTCAAGTTTGCGGATTAATTTTTTGGTCGACTTAAAAAATTGACTAAGAAAAATACCAATATTTTCTTTCGAAATTTTTTTTTATTTTCCCAAGTACTTTCAATCTTATCTGAGAGCATCTTCAGGGGGTTAAGTTGTCTGTGAGGATGTATATATATAGAGAGAGATAGATATGAACAGACTAAGATAGATAGATAGATAGATAGATAGATAGATAGATAGATAGATAGATAGATTTTTGTCAGGGTTTGTATAATCCTTTTCGCCTATCTAGCCTTATCCAGCCTTGTCCAACCTTATCCGGCCTCTCATTATTTCTATAATACATATAAGCAGTCGACTTGGAAACTGTCCTCGATTTACTCAAAGGTGAATCATGGCAAATTGCTCACAGATATATGAACTCACGTCTCTTCCCTTGGATGAGGAATAAATTAAGCTTAACTTTACGCTTCAGTTTGTTAGCTTATTTGTGATATATTAGAAGCTAGATGAGGAGATTTTAATCAAAATAGCATAAAATAATGCTAACACAGCTTCCGCAGTCCAATAAATATGTAACAAATATGCAGTTAGAAATTTATTTCGCGATTTGTCTTGAATATATCATGGCATACTCTTTACTCGACTACTCCAGCAACAACTACACATGTACGTTATCAAGGCACATTCAAAAAGCTGAGATATCTTTGTTACGTGCAACTGCAGAGAATTCAGTGCATTTGCTGCATATCGTAGACAAGCTCAACGCGATTTTAAACCTAGGGGGATCCAAAAGGCACTTGATAACTTGAAATCATCCGAGCTTTTTCTGATGACAGTATTATGTCACTTGCTTCAGTAAGTTTATTTGCGTTATCTTACTGATATATTTGTTTTTCTTTTTTACGGATTACCATTGCTGCATATAAATTAATACGGATTAAAGAAAAAAAATTGCGTGTGTATATTGTCTTAACATTAAAAAAAAAAATAACAATGATTTTGCCAGAGAGAAGACCTACTATTTAACCCATATCTGGGGGAGATGGATTCCCTTAAGGGTATCTACGTGTAATTGAAAGTTACAAATCCGACTGAAATTCGAACTCGGTTCTTCGTTTTTTTTTGTTTTTTTTTATTCCAAGCCGTTATTAATTACACCACCTGTAGATCCACTCGCTTACTCGAACAATCCACGTTCACTCGGAAATATGGCGAATAAGAGGTCAGTTTAATTTCAACAGAACATGTCTAACCGCATTAAAACTCCACCAACGGCTGATGGAATAATCGTGCAGTCGCTTTCACACAAGAACTCGATCATTTGCTTCAAATTTCTGGAAATATGAATCATATACCAAAGGTGTTATATTGCGAGTGTTCCACACTCCAATGTCTCTGATTAAGGATTCAGATTAAGCTATGTCTTGATTCCAATAGTGTTACCCTTGCTGGTCGATAACAGATAAAAAGCATGAAATGTAGACTGAAAGGTTGAACGATATCGCCATCCTTTTCAGTCGCTGGATTTTCTGTTCTTGAGGCGTCTGTAGGTACACATCGTTGTCGTATGTCGCTAATGTCTCTCAAACAATTTCAAAAAATATTTGAAAATGTATTCTAACCGTTCGTCTATGACTAAATGTTACTACTATTGTACATTATACCTTTTAGACAGGTATTTTTGTCTAATACTTTTTATTAATATCCTTGTCGTTAAATCATTTGCATTCTAACCAAGAGACCTGGGTTCGAATCTCACCATGGTCGATTTGAGTGAAATTGGGTAGACGGGACTGTTAATAGAAGTGTTAGCACAAAGTCACAAGTTCTCATGGCCGATGGCTTGAGCGTGCTAGCCGTGTTCAAAGTATTGATTTCATAAGCTAACACGGTCTTTCCCAGAAACTGTAACTAAGGTCTGCTCAGCATAGTTGCAGTATAAGCCACAGGTGGGCTCCGTGAGTGTTGAATAAACACAAATGCGCCTGAGCAAGTGTCTGCAATAAGGACCGGCTAGCCCACTAGTAGTCCGGTATCCTCGAATATGAGTGGCATATATATATATATATATATATATATATATATATATATATATATATATATATATTATTAGCAACCTGTTGTAAAATGCTATTCTTCGTCGTATTTTTTCCAATCTGCAATAGAATGTATTTTTCATATTATAAAAAAGATATCTTTTCTCATCTTTATTTTCTTCATCATGATGTTTTAGACACGCTAACCTCAGACTGTATTTTTCTTAAATGTCTGGACTGAGATGTTACTATTATACATTTACTTTTCGGGTTTATTTATTCATGATTGCTGCCAATGTTTTAGCCATTCAACACTCAGGTATTTTTCTGGGTGATTTTCTGAGGTGTTATGTGTTTTTTTTTTGTTTTTTGTCTTTTTTTTTTAAGCATTTCACCCCAAGCAAAGCGGGAAGCCATTAGGACGCAAGAGGTTACAGAAAATTTAGAGCAAGATCAGATAGGAGTGATAGAAGAAAGGATGAGAGTAGTGGATAGATCAAGGCAACTGGAGATGTCGATTGACATTACATTGAATAGCTGGAGATTATATCTCACAGGGAAACAAAAGAGGGGGAAGGGAGTTCCACAGGCGGGAGGTGCGAGACATGAAGCTATTAGAGTAGAAGAGACGGCTACATTTAGGAGTTTCGACAGTGAAGGGGTGAGAGCAGGATGCCAGCCTCGTAGGGGCGCTGGAACTCATGTGTGGGGAACCAGCGAATGCAGCTCCTTGAGCAATTTCCAGGAAAGTATTTGTAGAACAGAGAGGCGACGGCGCGTGTCTGTGTGAAAGGACTGTAGATGAGACGCCAGAGCAGGGCCAACTACATTGTATATATACTTGCCTAATTTGTTGTCACAAATCCAGACTTTCTGCCACACGAAATACTTTCTTTCATGATATCAGAGGCTCAATGTCAGCAATACACATTCCTTTATATGGGCAAGTGGTTAAAATGTTCGCATTCTAACCATGAGAGCCGGTTTCGAATCTCACCATGGTTGGTTTGTCAGGAAGGAGAATTCCTGATGCTATCAGACGGGAGGTTTTGACCCCAGCCTATGGCATCTTTGGAAAGTGCCTGAAAACCTTACCAAGAGCTGACCCAAGCCTTGTGGGTGAAGTTGGGTAGCCGGAACCCTTGGGAACCGTCGACAGGAGTGCTAGCACGAAGACGCATGTCATCGTGGCCGAGGGATTGAGCGTGCTGGTTTTTAAACTTTATGGTAACAACAAATATAAGTTAACTAGAGTAAAAACTTTTTTGAATGCAAATGACTGTCATCAAAATTACAGAAGATATTTTGAAGATATTTTATCGTCTTTTTTAAATTAGGATAAGCAATTTTTATTCCGATAAAATTGACCAACAATCAACTGACTGATGAGAAAAGAAAAGCTATTGTCTCTTAATTGTATCGTTTTTAAAACTCACACTTCCCTTCTAATGAGCTTCAAAGAAGAACTGAAAAATATAACCATTCTCACGATCGAGCGAAATCATTGTTTGTTTTCCTGCGATGAAAATAAAACAAGAATTATCATTGGCCATTCGACCTCGCATCGTGGGATATATTTTCGAGGTCTAGACATGGACCTCGTTAATTTCATCAGAGGAACCACTCCAAAACACTTTGCAATACATATAATAACAATGCAGCGGCTACGAAAACTATACTCGCCGATATGTCATCGCAGCTGAAAATTCCGATCGCTAGCGACAATCGCAGTAGTAGTAGTAGTAGTAGCAATTCAGCGACCACACGAATAAGTTGCAAATAAACACAAATATCGAGCAGGTAACAACGAGTTAGCGTTTATTTTTTTATTTTATTATTTATTTATTGCTAAGCCATACTGCGCATGCGTGTGTCTGTGTGCGCGAGCTCGCTCGTTAATTATTCGCCATTTCTGTGTTCTTTAATTCTTGCTTCATTTCTCTGTCAATCCGAACCGTTTCCACCTGCCTTTCTCTCTGATTCGCAATGTTTATTATTCTTTCCGAACCGTTGATGATTAGGCTCAAAGGTTAAAGACATTAACCGATGTTCACCTACGTGTAAACTGGTTAGAGAACAAAATCATCATCGAATTTTACGTCCTGGATGTAAATTTCAGACACCTTCAACGTTAGAACAATGCAATATGAAAATAATTTTTAGCTGTTAAAAAAAAATTGCTTGCCAAAGTACAGCATTGAAAATCTTGATACTTTTTTTTTTCTGAGATTGAACACAAAAAACAGCTTTATTTGTGGAATCATATTTCTTTCTGTTACAAGATTAGCAATGTGATAAGTATGTGTTAATATCTACCTGGCTGTCTTATCCTTCCCATATCAACTTATATGAACGACGGGTGGATTAATTTCTATATCTATAATAAGGGTTGTAGCAGAGGTAAAAGCTAAGTATTTGGTTTTTACCTAGAGTTAATTACTAATCGAATAATGGAAGAGACAGTCTCTTTATCACTCTAGTATGCTCATGTAAAATCGATATATATATATATATATATATATATATATAATTTAAATATTCATGGAGACCAACCGAACACTATTCATAACATGCTTGTTGACAGCACTAATATAATATCATCATCTACATGCAAAAAAAGGCTAAAAATAATGGAAGCCTTATTAATAAAAACAAAAAAAAAACAACACTTAATAATATTAACTTAGAACATGGACATAATACCTTGACCGTGTTTTGAAAAATGAAAAACATTTTATAAAACGTACATACAACAATCTATTTCTTATTTAACAGTTAAAATATTAAATCCTTGAAAATGGTTAAATGTATAGCCGAAAGCGCTCGGATGAAAAGAACATTCGGACAGTTTTTATATAATTTATCATCCGAAAAGAAAAAAAATTCTTAGAGCGCATGAGAAATTGT